ATTCTTCATATTAGTCAGTGACACCCCAAGGTTAAAGGTTAAAGATCCGTAACACTTGTTTTCTTAATTGATTTTTAAGTTATAATCTCCTTCTATCCAAACATTGAATTTGAGATTAATTTAGAAGCATATTGCAGAAACTCCTTTCCCTATGTTAAAAGTAACTATGTAAAAGATCCAAGCAATAAACTTCTGATCTTGAGTATCAGTGGCTGTTACCATTCACAGCTATCTTGAGAAGCACTGTTGGAAACTCAAATTCAAATCTTTCCAGGCTCTCATATGTCCTGAAACTAAGTTTCTGCATAACTGTGTTCTAGTTTGGGGACCATGGCATTCCCCAAGTACAATTACTTCTATTTCTCTCTGAGTTCTTAAGTACTGGGGCAAGGGGAATATATGGCTATAAGAAAATTCATTTAAGGACTATAGGAATCTTTAACATTACCCTGGTGAATGTTCTTTTCAGCATGAGTTGCAAAGGCATGTTAGCAGGATGGGAACCCCAATCCATTTCCATTTACCAGAAAGGTGTGTGTTCTTGTTTTCAAACTAAGAAGAGCTTTTTAGGTGGAGTACCATGCAGTGTCTGAGCTTTAGAGGAGAAAGACTGCTGAAATGCTTTCTTTCTTTTGGTCTCTAAACTTTTCAGAAACTTGGTATGATAATAAAAAGTTTGGAAACCCCCCAAACAATAAGACAGTGTGACTTACTATGTAGCTGATCCTGCTGTGATAAATAAGACAAACTCTGAATTTGATGAGTTCACCTTTCAGTAAGAGAAAGACAAGTAAATTATCTATGTAACAATATAAGAAGTTTTACGATTTAGATATAGGAGATGCTGAGAAGTGGCCCCTCTCCCAGACCAAGAAGATAAAATGACCTTTTGTCAGGCCTGCAGTGAGGATTACACAGAGCAAGGGGTGCCTTTCAAGTTCTACTCTAGAGCATTAAAATGAATAACTAAAGAGATACTACAAAGTCTTTTTTCGTTGAATGTTAGGAACCCAGTAACCTACCCGACATGTCTACAAAAGCAGTGAATCTTCATAAATGCTGTTAGGAAAAAATAGATGCTGCTAGCCCAGGACAGCAGAAATCACTATAGAATCACATGGTTTCTGCCTTCACCTTGGACTACAAGTCTAATGATTTGATGGGACATAGGAAATGTTTTATGTCTACAAACATGACCCTGGGTCTTATTACCGGGTCTTATTACTGGGTCTTATTACCGGGTCTTATTACAGTCCTGGGTCTTATTATCGCTTTCCAGAATGTTATCTATTGACCTAGCTACCCTAAACAAACCAAAACAACAGCTGGGGAGGTGATTCGTACTCATGGTGACTGATAGAAGAGAACGTCACTGCAGAAGAGAGCGTCACTCACAGAAGTTCCACATCTGTGACCTTTCAGAAGCCAATTGCCAGATCTTTCTTCTGAGGTGCCTCTTGTTAAGTGCCGAGTTGGTTCTCACTCATCGTGACCCTGTGTAAGATTTCTGAGGAGCAGCTGGTGGGTTTGAACCACTGACCTTGTGTTAGCAATCCAGTGCTTATCCTACAAGCTTTCTGTTAGTAGTTAAGTGTTTAACTATGTGAACCAGGGACTCTTCAGGCCACATATGCATATATGTGCACACATACACACAAATATGTGCCTATATAGACAAGGAGCCCTGGTGGTGCAATGGTCAAGCACTTGCAGGCTAAATGAAAAATTGGCAGTTCAAACCTACCCATCGGCTTTGCAAATGAAAGACCTGGTAATGTGCTTCCGTAAAGATCATAAACCTAAATGGAAGCTATATCAAGGAACAATAGCTTCATATGCTGATATTTTTATTTGAAAAAGGTCTTTATGATTTTATAGCAATATTTTTTTTACATACCCTTGCATATGCAATACCCACAAATGTATATCTATACATATGCCTACAGATGCTCCTATACGCATGTATTTATTCAAATATGCGGCCCTGTATAGGGGTTCCATGGAACAGCTGGGTCTGAACCACCAACCTTGTGGTTAACAGCCCAGTGCTTATTCTACAGCACCACACCAGGATATGTATATAGAAACCCTATGGGGGAGTTCTACTCTGTCACATGGGGTTGCTATGAGTCAGAATCAATTCGATGGCGCCCAACAACATTATACACATACATAATTCTAGCCCTAGCCTCATTCAGTGTTGTTGTAAAAAATAAATATAAAACAGACAAAATGGTCAAGAATGTTAGCTAGTTTATGAATCCCAAAATGAGGACAAACTTTGAGCGTGTACACAAAGCCTCCCACCCCTTCTACAGAACGGTTTCTTCAGTCTTCCTGGGATTAGTTCTCCTCACAGGTCTGCATCTGTGGCTGGTTTACTAGCTTCTTCACACACGTTTCCATTCATTAGACTTTGCTATGAACCCCTGCCATTCGACCTTTCTCCCCAACTGAGTCACATGGCAGAAAATTTCACAATCTTCCCTTTTCAATTCTCACTTTCTTCATTTAGGTATCTGTGAACTAGCTGCACAGTACAAGAGACAGTGAGATACAGTGTGCAAATCAGGGCTTCCAACCGGTTCATCCCTATTCAGTCATAGCCAACAAAGCAACACCAGAATGAACCCACAATTTAAAAATGTGGGTGAACTGGAATGCAAACCAGAATGGGAAGAATTACACGTTGAAGTCCTGCTAGAAACTTCATCTCCCTCGTAGAAAACAAAGGCAGTGTGGCATTGCACAGCAACCAGATCTCTTGACCAACTGAGTTGAAAACAACGTTACCTCAAAGCCAACCACACAGCTGTGAATGTGTTGCTCTCCACAGTCCTGGCAATAATCCAATCTCGGCACCCTCTCACTATGCCTCTCCCCATTCCAGAGTTGTAACCCATAATCTTTCTCACTTCAGTTAGTGATCTGAATCACCCAAATTGTAAATATTTGAATCTGTTCTGGTTTTGCTTTGTCTGTGAAACCCTTACAAACACTTTGAGGGCAATTTTGTTCCTTTGAGGCTCACAGCATCTGGCTATACTACAGTTTTTATCTCTCATCTCCATCACCCACCCACTTCAGGTCTCTCAGCTCCCTCATTCTTCTCTGTATACCATCATCTTGGACACTTCCACATCCAAGAAGATGACCAGCTTACAAAACAACTTAAGTTTCCCCATTCCTTGACCTTTGTCTCCACTGCATTCCAGCCACTTATTTGTAGGGCCATAGCTTGGAATTGGAAACCTTCAACTGAAATGTCCCACACTCATGTGAATAGATATAGGCCAAGGTGTTGATAGTGGCTACCTTGATCGGTCAAATTATGTGCACTCCAGATGCTCCCTTGGATTACACTGTGAATTTCCTTACTACTTTTGTAATAAGGAAAGAAAGTAGTAAGAGGAATTTTATCACTCTGATAACAACTTCAGTCTTATCAAGACCTCTAGACCTAAGCCCTTCCCAGTGGACTAGCTGCCTTTCCCTCTGAGCCACCACAGCCTCTGGTACTTGCCTTCATCACCACACATGCCACACTGTAGTACAGTAACTTATTTACATATCTGTCTTTCTCTTTTCATTCTAAGTTCCTTGGAGTCAGGTATCATGTCTTAGGCCTCTGTGCCTCCAATACTTAGCACAGTGCCACTGTTTAAACAAACAGGTTTCTGAATCAATGTGTGGATAAATACTGAAACTGCACTGATGTATCTGAGTCGGACGCTGTTTCACGTTCAATTCTGCCACTGACTTTCCTATGACATTGGACAAAGTCAGTTAAATTCTCTGAATCACAATTCCTCAGCTGTGAAATGATGTGTTAACCCTGCCCCTGTCAATTTCAGAGTTGTCAGCAGACTTCAATAATATGTACGAATGTTGTTGCTGTTGTGAAGTGCCGTCGAGTCATAGTGACTCTGTATAGGGTTCCAAGGAGCAGCTGGTGGGTTTGAACCACCGACCTTGTGGTTAGTAGCACACTGTTTGTCCTACAGAGGTATGACAATTACCATTACTTGCTCACACTGGCTAAAACACATGACCTTGTTTTCCTTGAATTGCTTGCCTTGGTTCACTAGAGTCACCTTTTTATTGCCACTTGACATTAATAGCTTCAGAGCTGACTAGCCACGAGTGATCCCAGATTATTTAGCCATCATTCCCCTAAAGAAGATAAGGCACAGCCAGGAATACCTGTTGTAAGATACTGCACCATTCATTTCCAGAGAATAGCATTGTTCACATGGGGGGCAAAGGCCTTCCAAATGCTTCCTGAGAGAATGTTCTAAGTATTCTCACTCTTTATGTTTCTACCAACTCAAAGGAAGGATCAGACAATCGCTAAAGGTATGGAAAACTTACACATTACTCTCAGAACTCTGGGTTACAAATAATTCAATCACGACATCTCTAATCTAACTTCATAAAAATGGGTCCAAATAGGATATGCACTGGGAATGGATTTGTAATTTCCAGGTGCTCCAATCTCAAACAAGGGGTTATTTCAGTGATTCCAAAATTTATCTCCACATTACAATCCCCTAAAAACATTTTTTAAATTACAAAAGCCCAGTCCACTTAGTTCCCAGACCAATTAAGCCACAATCTCTTAGAGTAGGTCTTGGTAGTACATTGGTTAAGCACTCCGCCACTGAGAAACAGCTGACTAGTTGCTCTGAGGAAGAAGGACGTAGCCGAGGGCTTCCACACAGAAGGCAGCCTTGGCAGTCCTCCGGGCACTTCTACCCGGCCTTGCAAGGCCAGTATAAAGTGGAATTGACTTGCTAGCAATGGGTTTGGTTTTGGGGGTTTTGTAGGAAGATGCAGACATTAATATTTTGGAAGCACCCAGGTGGTTCACTGTATTAACAGGCAAGTTTGGGAACCAAGGCTGTTTTGTATTTCAACTTGGACCTAAGCTTTTCTTTCCTGTTACTAAATTTGTAGAAAAAGAATCAAGGCACCAGTCATTTGACGACAACAAAACCTGCCTCGACAATTATCTGGAATGGTGATCGTCCTGACATATCCAGGGGACAGCTGGCTTCCTCTGAGGTCCACATCAGTTTTGCAGATAATCCAGGCAGCATAGGCTGTATTTCTGTGTGAGAAGAAATGGCAACAAAGTAGAACATACAGTTTAGATAAGCACCTGAGTTTCTGGAATTGTTTATTAAACTGATGAGCCAAGAAAGCTTTTCCCTGATGAAAAGATTATCTACAAGTTTTTAAATATGATTTGAAATGGCTGTGCATCAGCAAATTGTTAGAACATTTAGAAGCATATTATGAGGTTAAGACATTTAATCTCATGTTTTAAATTTTTCACATTTTCTAAATCAATTTGCATTTTCAGTCAACGTCCACAGGATCATGTCCACTACTGGAAATCTTCAGACTAGATAGGCTTAGCTGATATTCTTGTATTTTTTTCTTAAATAAATCAGTTCATTATTTAATAAACACAAATCTAGTAAGTGAGTTGTTTAAAGCTGAAAACAGAAAATTTCAAAAATGGTCCTTTAGGGCATATACCTAATATAGTATGTTCTTTAATGAGGTACTCTTAAACAAAGAAAAGCAAATTAATGCCAATTTAATTTGTGAATTAACTACTTGGTGTGTTTCTATTTGTTAACACAGTACTTTCTACAAAGCACCAGTGAGTCCTGGATCACCATCCACAAAAAGCACACACCATCCTTCTTTCTCTCCATATGCTGACACTCATAAAGGAGAAAAAGAATCTACCATTTTACAAAAGCCCTTCCCCTACCAGCCCCGCCTATTTCCTCTCTACATTAGAATAATACTGGAGAACTAAATATTAACGTTGTTATGTGCCTGCAACTCAGTGCCAACTCATAGCAACCTGATGTATGAACAGAAGGAAACACTGCCCGGTCCTGTGACATCCTCACAATTGTTATGTTTGAGCCCATCGTTGCTGCCACTGTGTCAATCCATCTCCTTGAGAGTATTCCTCTCTTTTGTTGACCTTCTACTTTGCCAACCATGATGTCCTTCTCCAAGGATTGATTCCTCTTGATAATATGTCCAAAGTTCATGAGACAATGTTTCACCATTCTCACTTCGAAAGAACATTCTGGTTGTACTTCTTCCAAGACAAATTTGTTTGTTCTTCTGACTGTCCATGAGTTATTCAGTATTCTTTGCCATAGTCCTCAAAGGGCATATTTATTTTTAAACACTTTAAAGAGGTTGTTTTTATAGCAGATTTGTCCAATGTAATATGTGTTTTGGTTTCTTGACTGCTACTTCTACGGATGTTGGTTTTGACTCCGTGCTAAATAGAAATATATCTGTTGTTGTTAGTGCTACTAAGTTGGTCTGACTCACAGCAACCCTGTATAATGTTTCTGAGGAGTGGCTGGTGGATTCGAACCACTGACCTTGCAGTACTTATCCTACAGCGCCAAAATTCTACCTTTTAAATGAGGCTGACGATGTTGATATAAGAATTCAACTTTAACAATAATAAATTATATCCTAAAGTAATAGATTCTGTAGGGTACACATTGGACTGCAAACCACTAGGTCGGTGGTTCAAACCCATCAATCACTCCGTGGGAGAAAGATGAGACTTTCTGCTCCAGTAAAGATTTACAGCCTTGGAAAACCATATGTTGTTGTTGTTGTTGTTAAGTGCCATTGAGTCAGTTCCGAACCATAGAGATCCTGAACAGGGTTTCCGAGGTTGCAAATCTTTATGGGAACAGAAAGCCTCATCTTTCCCCCATGGAGCAGCTGGTAGTTTCAAACTGCTGACCTTGCGGTTCGTAGCCCGATTCGTAACCACTACGTTACCAGAGCTCCTTGGAAAACCATATAGAGGGCCACTATGAGTCAGAACTGACTCAATAACACTTAACAATCACAAAAAAGTAATAGCATACTATTACTTTATTATAATATTAGAACATACTAGTCATAATACAGAGCTATGATGCCTTAACCATCTCAAATAGTATGGACCTTCCCAAGATCAAGTTCTAGCTGTCAATCTTTATTGGGCAATAGTGTTCTTGCCATCAGTTTGCTTTTCAAATCTAGTTCAGTCACAAAGCCCAGGATCATGGGGAAGTAGGTTATACTACAGTGAGGTTTAGAGAACTCGGTGCTAAACCAGGACATTCATCTTTCAACCACCTTCACAGTTTTGCCACCTACTGACTTTCTTTTATAGTCATTATTTTTATTAGTGTGTTTGCTTGTTTAACTTTTATTGTGAATTGGGAGAAGGCCTACAGAGCATATCCGTTTTCCATTCAGCAATTCATACATATTTTGGTTCATGTCATTGACGGTAACACCCATGATGCAATGTCACGTGTCCAATTTTCCTCCTTGCTGTGCTCCCCATTTCCATTCCTCATTCTTCCCTAGCCTTTCTGAATGTTGTCCATGGACCAACTTTCTGACACAAGGTAATGTCCCTGTTTTCTGTGATTCAGTAGCCTTTCTGTGAAATAAGGAAAAATAATTCCTGAATCCTATTTCACTTTGAAGTGAAATACTACAGAAATGGGAAAAGCATATGACATGTATTGCAGTGGGCAAATATGCAGCAAAAGACCTCTTGAAAGTGTTTAAAAAACAAAGATATTAGTTTGAGAACTACGAAGCACCTGATCCACGCCATGCTGCTTTCCATCACCTCATATGCATGTGAAAGTTAACCAATGAATAAGGAAGACCATAAAAGAATTGATGCACTTGAGGTAGTGTTGGAGAAGAATATTGAAAGTACCATGACTGCCAGAAGAAAGAAAAAATCTGTATTGTAGAAGAAGTACAGCCAGAATGTTCCTCAGAAGGCAGGATAGTGAGATTTTTGTCTCTCATACTTTGGACATGTTATCAGAAGGGACCAGTCCCAGGAGAAGGACATCATGCTGGGTAAAATGGAAGATGGGAGAAAAAGAGGAAGACCCCAACAAGATGGATTGACATAGTGGTAAAAATAATAGGCTCAAACAAAAGAACAATTGTGAGGACGGTGCCGGACCAGGCAGTGTTCATTCTGTTGTGCAGAGGGTCGCTAGGAGTTGGAACTGACTCAACAGCACCTAATATGTGTGGGACACTATGTTAACATGACCTAATTAAATTCCCACAACTCTATGAGGTAGGAATTCTACTATTTATCCTATTTTGACTGCTAAAAAACCCTGATGCTCAAATGCTACATATCATGTAAAACATGAAACTGGAGATCAAGCATAAGGCTCTAACTCTAAAGCCTATATGTTTAAATTACATATGTAGAATGAAATCAATTTCTAAGCACATATGTAACATAGAATAGACATGCGGTTTTTATTCTTTATTCTCTCTGGAAAAGAACATCATACAATAGTTGCTATTTTAAAATATTTTAGATGATATTCTAATTCCACAGTAGCACTCTGGTAACACAGTGGTTACGAGTTAGGATGCGAACCTCAAGGTCAACAGTCCAAAACTACTAGCTGATCTACAGGAGAAACATGAGGCTTTCTGCTCCTGTAAAGATTTACAGCCTCAGAAACCCTGTATAGGGTTGCTATGAGTCAGACCACCACCAGAAGAAAATGAGATCTAGTAAAATCAATCTATGAATCTATCATTCCACCATCAACTGACCATCTTAAAATATATTACAGCAGTGAAACTGAATCTCAATTTGTAAATCATGGTGTCAAGTCAAAAAATGCAACTTGCAAAGCTAATGACTAAATTCATCCTAAACTTCATATTAGAAGTTTGTCTCTAAATACATGAAGAAAGTTCATAGATAGGGAAACTGAAGTGTACATACTCAGAAAAATGTTCAAGCAAATATAAAGTAGAACTACATTCCATTTAATTAGCTGGAAATTGGCTACAATATTTTAATTGACATTCCCAGTGCTAACAAAGTACAGTGAAGTTGATGTCTTCACATACCAATGGTACTATTACACAATACAACTTTTTTTAAGAAGTAATTTTGACAGCCATAAAACTATACATAGATTTTGATCCAGTTAATTTTACTTCAGGAAATTTTTACTTAAATAAAAATATCTTAATAATTAATTAATAAAAAGACCTTGAGGTTAGGAGCTCAGTGCTTGCTTACCCTACAGAGCCACAGTGCTGCAATAAACATGGGTGTGATCTATCTATTCTTATCACAACTCTTATTTCTCTAGGAGAGATACCAAGTAGTGGGATTGCTGGATCATGTACTACTTTTATTTCCAACTTTGTAAAGAAGCACTATGCCATTTTCCATAGTGGTTGTGCCATTTTGAAGTCCAACCAGCAGTGTAGGAGGGTTCTAATCTCTCCACACCCTCACCAGCATTTTTTATTTTCTGAGTTTTTTAAAAAAGAAAAACTGCTGGAGGGAGATACCTTATTGTTTTGACTTTCATCTCTAATGTAGCGTAGTGGTTACAAATCGGGCTGCGAACCACAAGGTCAGCAGTTCGAAACTACCAGCCGCTCCGCGGGAGAAAGATGAGGCTTTCTGCTCCCATGAAGATTTATAGCCTCGAAACGCTGCACAGGGTCGCTATGGGTCAGAACCGACTCAACAGTACTTAACAACAACAACAATGGCTAATAATTGCAAACATTTCTTCGTATATTTGTTGACCACCTGAATGTCTTCTTTGGTAAAGTGTCGGTTCTGTCCTCTGCCCATTTTTAAATGATTATTTTTGTTGTTATTGGTTAGTTTTCTATTAATTTTAGAGATTAGTCCCTTGTTTGATGCATTGTTGCCAAAAAAAATTTCCAGTCTGTGGGTTCTCTTATGACTCTTTTAATGGACAATTTTGCCATTAAAAATAATAAGAAGACTATGTAGTAATATGAAAAATGTTTATAATTATGTTAGGTGAAAAAAGAGGTAGGACATAAAATTGTATGTATATTGTGAAGAAAACTTTCTTTTTTAAATTCTTGGAGGGAAAAATCTGAAAAAAATAATAATAAAATTAAAACACCAGTATTTATTGTGAATTTTTCCTCCTTTCTGTTTTGAGATTTTCTAAAATGGCTAATACTACAGTTGCAACAAAAAGTCCCATTTTAAAATAATTTTTTTGA